GAGAGAGAAAGAAACACTCCCCAGTGGGATGTAGTCATGTCACAATTCTTCTTCTTCCATTTTGCCATAGTCAAGATTAGGGGCACACATATAGACATGCTGGCAAATTTTTCAAGCTACCAGAACTGGGATTCGAACTGTGGTTGGCTATGTGGAATCCAGCTTCCTATGCTCTATGGGGGCCAAGAAGTAACACACATTTTAAGGATTTAAAAATACTAAAAAATGTACCAGTTCATATTCCTTCCAGCAATATAGTGAAGTGCCTACCTCCCCATACCCTCACCAGCACTAAGGATTGTTCTTTTTTACCTTAGCCATTTTTTTTTTTAAAGTTTGCCAGAGTGTGCACATGTTCACCAGGGAGCGCCAGAGAGAGAAAGAGAGAGAGAGAGAGAGAGAGAGAAGCAGAAAGCACCCCCCAATGGGGCATGGTCATGGCACAATCCTTTCTCCATTTCTCCATTCTTTTGGGATTTGAAGGCATGCACGCACATGCACCCAGTGTGTTTTTCAAGCTGCTGAGTCCAGGATTCAAATCATGCAGTTGGCTATGCGAGATCCAACTTCCTTAACCACTACGCAACAGGGCTGGCCCTATCTTTGCCAATTTGATAGGTAAATACTGAATTTATTGTTCTTTTAATTAGTATTCATACTGAGGTAGAACAATTTTTCATACACTATTTTTTTGTATTTATTTGTGATGCTCTTATTTTAAAAACTCAACTGTACTTTACACAAGAAAAAAATGATTTTAGAAGCTTTTATGAGTTGTCTGCTTGATTTTTGTCCTATCTGTAGCTTGTGCCACACTCCCCTTATTTAAAAAATTATCCCCACCTAAAATAAACCAGTATCACATTGTCTTTCTTAGGATAATGCTATTCAGATCATAAAACAATATGTGAAATTAGGCCTTCAGTTTGTTTTATGTCACTGTCCCATCAGCCGTCTATGGGGATGTTCTAGGAGAGATAAATTGATCTGAGCTATGATAAAATATTTGAGATGAGATTATGGAAGCGGGTTGCACTGATGAAGTTGGGGTGTGGGGAGAATATGAGGAATATGGAATTCACCTGCTCACCAGGCAGTAGACGTCCTGAAAGGAAGAAAGCTTTTCTTACCGTGCTCATCTCTAAGGAAGGGGAGAGAAATCTGTATGGGAAATTGACTCTTTCTTTTCAATCCTTGCTTTACATTCAATACTGAAAGGGTGGACCCCGTCTCCTACTAAAGTTGAAGTGTGGGTCATTTTGAGTCTCCTCACAATTACTTCCCAAAAACCTTGAAATGATTCAGGTTAGAAGATTCCAGGATATCAGACTGAGGACGAGGAGGTTCACCGTGAATCACGTTTTAAAGAGCACAGTACAGTGGAGCTTGGCTACGTGACTTAGAAATGTTAATTTGTGTACTCAGTAGCTTCTATGGTTTGATACAACAGGGTTTCCCAAGCTTCCTTTCTGAAAAAAGTCATCAGGTACATTGACTAAAAATAGGCTTTTCCAGTCCCCATCCCAGACTCCTCTGCAGGAGAAAGACGGACAAATCTCCATTGAGAAGTTTAGAAAATGCAAATGAGAAGGATCTGAGGGAAGTTCCCTTGTAGCAGGTAGCTTTTAGGATGTCCACACAGTCTATAAGACAGCTACCAACAACTTCCACCCTTAGGTGGGGCCCTTGCATTCACCTCACCCACGTCATCTGCACCTGGCTCGTCAAGAAGGGAGCCGCTCTGTACCTCTGAAAATTCAAAATGGTGTTTAGATATAGCCAGTCCATCTCTAAAACTTTAACATGGAATCTCAGCTACATGGGGCAGGCTTATTCTGCTGTGTGGATGAGGAATCAGTTAAAATGGAGAGAGAAGGGGAGAGAAGACAAGGAGACAGGAGAATGAAACACAGACTCCCTTTTTGCTTGAAGTAGTTTAATTTGCTTCCAATAATTTGCATCGTAAGACCAAGACACTCTAGTACTTAAAAAACAATTCACCTACACATTATTAAATATTTACATTGAAGATCAATTGAGGTTAATGGGTATTCTATTTTATTTTATTTATTTAAAATTTTCCCCTTTATTTATGATAGTGTGAGAGAGAGAACAACCCTCCACAAAATCTCCAACTCATTGGATCTGGGGCATTCTCACGTGTGCCTGGCATGTTTCCGTCTTATGGATCTGAGGATTCAAACTACAGTTGCCATGTGGGATCAACTTCTCTTGAGTAGCTTGAGTAGCACATTACCATTGTACCATGGAGCTGGCCTGAGTTCTTCATTTTTTTTTTTTT